TGATCAAGGTGTATATTGAATTTAATACTTTGGGGACTAGTCTTGCAAGACTTTATGACTTTGATGGTCCCGCTATTGTACATTGATATAATTAAAGCACCTGCAATAAATATATTATTTTTATTATGGTTAATATTAAATGAACCGCGGTCTTGCATGTTTTTTTTTTGTTTTTGTTTGTGAGTGTTTGGTTTACCCGGTAATCGCAACTTTCCAGTTTGTCGAATAAACGGAAGGTGACGGACGCGGTAAAATTGATTGTGACAGTAATTAATTTCCCAGTAATCACAGGATATTAACCTAATAAAGATAATACTATAAGTTTGTATTCGCAATTATTCAGTTTTGTAAGTCCGCTTACTTCAGAAATTCTTGTGGCGTTTTTTTTCGCTGAAGCTCGTGCGGACGTTAGCCTAGTGATTGTTATTCTCGTAATAGAGACATGTGAAGATTGATCGTACAAGCTCAGGACAAAGCACGTGGCCCGGCTTTGTACTCTTACCAAAAGATTAAAAAAAAGGTTCGCACAGTGTGCAGGATGCTGGGTCGGACATGAGCAAGGTACACAATTTTTGTTTTAAATTTGATTCGAAGCACTTTATAAGTTTAGTGGAACAAAACTTTCATCAAAATGTCGTCCACTCGAACACACTACATGCAGTTCAGCGATAAAGTAATTCCAAGGTAGCCTATTTTAGCCTCATTTCATATCAGCTCATTGTTCAAGCAATCCCGAGGCTGATTTGTTTTTGTTTTGTTTTGTTTTTGACAGAAATAAATTGATTTACGTTAGATTCACGGTCCCCACTTACTACACCAATATTCCATTTGACTTAGGTCAACCAGCAGCTGCCTTTAGCCCTTCTCGTACTTTAAACCTTTGTAAACAGGACATTATTTATTGGCAAAGAATCTCAAACTGGAAGTTAACATGACACGAAAAAGCTTTTACAAATATCAAGAACAACAATGGCCCCAGTACCGTGCATTGTGGTACCCCAGAGGTAACTTCAAAAGGAAGTGAGATGATTCAATATTTATAACACTATTGCTTATTTAACATTTGTAAAAATGGCGGGAAAAAATAAAACAACATCCCAAAGAAAGTTGCAAAATTAAGCTTGACGAATCTTCCGACCCATAGGCAGGTGGTGAGCCAACAAATTGAACGCTGGACGAACACAAAAACAAGCGCAAAATATTAAGCTGTACATTAATTGAATTAACAGAACCGAATCTACACTGGAACCAAAACAACAGCAATGAAGGTTCAGTTATAATAAAACGACATATTGCTAACGCTAAAACAAATATGACTGAATTTAATTCTGGATAGTAGGGTCCAGATTTGTACGTAATTTGTTACAAGTATCGAAATTACTTCTAATCCCTTACATTTATCAGTAATTTTGTAAGGGAATAATTACATATAACAGAAAGTAATTGTAAAGTAACTTCAGTATTTTTTACGCTAGGGACTGTTTGTAATTTATTACATTTTTGTTTTCATTCGCGGAGGAAAAATTCGGGAACTTTGAATATTGACAAAAATAGTAAAACAATATTTTTTTTTTCCTGTAAGAGTAACCTTTACCGGAATCACACGGTCACCTGAATTAAAAAAAAGAAAAAAAACAAGTTCCGGCATTTTTTAGATGCTCAAAACCTTTCTTCACGTCACATAGAGCCTCGACTCAATTTTTTTTGTCTTTCTTTTGGTTGTTTGCAAATTGTAACTTGTCAGCTTCCTCGCCCATAACGAAGTGGGAAGCACACTGATACAAAGAACCGGACTCTCTGTGCAAACAATATAGACAAACTCCCGGGTTCAAAGTGTTTCTTCCCAACAAAAACAAATGCAAAAACAAAATCGTCAAAGTGCACGCGAGCTGGTGTAGCGGATCTGTGCGCGTCTTTTCTTTTTGTCTCTTCGCTCTTTCTTTGCTTCCATCTGGTCAAGAGAAAGAGAGAGTGAGAGACAGAGAGGATAACTTCTTTGTATCACCTTCAGGGACCGAGGTGATCTATATTGGGGAGAAAAGCGAAGTTCGGTGGAGCTGTAGTTTGTACACGGAGTCTCATCGGCCAACAGGATCTAGCTGACGTGTTGGGTGTCGAGCGAGTAGGAAAACCCTTCCGAACGCGTTGCTTTCTAGCCATTCAGTCGCGCGTCCAGATGGCAGCACCTGTTTGGAAAAAGAAGGATCGACAAGTTGCTTCGTCCAGCGGACGACATCGTCATATAGAAACGAGGCAAGGTGTCCGATGAGACGTTTTGAGAGCCCCATGTTGCTCAAGGTCACACAAGTGTGAGTTGCTACAGCAATAAACGCTTGCACAACACTTGGGTCTTGTTTCTCACCCAAGGACAGTAAGGTTGAAAGTAACGCTGCAAAATTAACGGATTACGTTTCGAAGTAACGGTCACTTAATTTTATGAAAGTGTAATTTGAGCTGTAATTAGTTACATTTAGCTATATGTAATTGTAAATGTAATTCCGTACTTTTCTTTGGTAACGTGTACAAGCCTGGTAGGGTCCATATGAAAACTCTATAATTTATAAACTAAATGTGAATGGACATACAAATAAAATCCCACGACAAGGAAAGAAAACGTCAAAGAAAAAGGAGAAATACGAAAACGTCTCGAAGAGTTGTCCTTTTCTTCCTCCTCTGTCTCGAGGTATCGAATGTTACCATTCACCAACAGTACTCCGTTGACCCTTAAGATGAGACTACAAGCTCCGCCTTCAGAACGAGCTTTCTGCCCTTGCTAACACAAGTGTGAACACGCAGCCACGCAGAACCAAAGCACTGCGGAAGAGAGCGGTCTCGCGCTGAAGGCAGAGATCCTAGTATCAGGGTGAACAAACTATAGCCGGCGCTATTACCCTTATCTAAATGTAAATTCGAGACAGCGCCAAGCGGTGTGCCGCATTTGCTTTCATTCTTTTCTAACATTTTTAGATCAATCATCATATTTGATGATTGATGAGAAATCCGGTTTATAAATCGGCTTGCTGAAGGTTACAACCATTTATTTTGAGACTTTTATCTGCTCCGTTTAGACTATTTTTTTTTTTTCAATTTGCAAACACTGTTGCATCTGGGTAGAGATGCGGAGGATGATCCCAGTTCATCACAGATTTGTGTACCGGATGTTGAGATGAGGCGCACCGCTGACAGCTGTGCTCTATGATTTCTGTGCCATGGCTAGTGAAGCTATATTGTACATCCTGCAATATATAAGGCAAAAAACATGAGGGCATGCACCTATGCCTTTTTAAGCGAGCATCCTGTTTGCGCAAAACCTGAGTAAGTATGTAAGAGATTTTGACTTACAGTGCCGCTCATATCATGAAGTGAATTACTTGGGACGTAAGGTAGTGACAAAAATGGGAAAGCAAACAACGAGCGCAACATGGTAAGCTCTCTGGAAGACTCGTGGTCTTTCATGATTTCTTTCTTTCAGTGCAACAGTTAAGCAAAGGTTAATATTCTTTGCCGAAAAAAAAAAGTTTGGTTTAAACTAACGACATAAAAGTTGGATTGAACTTACTACGTTTACTAGTTTATGTGATGTATATTTTCCTTATTTTTCTCGTACGACGAACATACAGGATGTTAGAACGTTAGGAATAAATAATGAATTTTTTTTAAAGTGTAACTTAATAAATTGACCACCAGTTCACACTGAAGATTTTACTTTGTCTACAAAATGTATGCAGATATCTTGATGACGTATGAATGTCAATCGTACGCAACTAGGTGTTATGTAAATCGTGCGCAACTTGGTATGAGGAGTTTAAATTTTCTGCGTGTGTAAATTTCTGTAGTGGCCAGTCCGTGGAGTCTTCTTTTTATCTATCTAGTTTCGTTATCTTCGTGTTTTTGAAAAAAAAATATTCAGGCATCTACATTAACGTGTATGAACCAACTAGCTTAACAGAAGACGGTTATCATTTTTTTTAAATCTTTGAAGGACATCGGTACGGCTAAGTTATACTCACAATTTCTGATAGTATCGTGGTGTAGACCAAACCTACTTTTTTGCTTAAAGGTAAAATATTTTATGTTCGCTAGTGGTTGCAAAGTTTTCAAAGTTACGACCAACAATTACATTTCATATTCCAATTACCATTTGTAAAAACAAATTCTTATATTTCACCATGATACATTATATTGCCTTTTATATCGCCTTGAAAAGAAATATATTATTGTGTTTTGTAAATGTAATGTTATTGGCTCTTTCCGCACGCACCAGATTACAACCACCATTACTGACCTTATGTTGTCTTACCGAGATACCGAGCCACTAAAACGGTTGTTGCCGAGCCTCCACAAAGTCCAATTTTGAGGACAAGAACCCAGTAGAATCAAAACTGGCAATAACCTTGACTCCAATGGTTAGGATGAAGTGAAGTAAATGAAATAAGGGGAAAACAAAAACTCAAGGTCAATTATGGCGGCGTCCACGCAAAGCCGTTGCAAAACGTGTATGAGCAACGAAAAAAAAAAAAGAATCAAGTCAAACCGCAGTTGACAAGCTGTGAAGTATACAACGAAATGGTCAATCGCTTGGGGATGGCCGCTCGCGCGTATTAGTTTTGCGCTGTATGTATGAATAAATTTCACCAGTTTTTATTGTGCATATTTAATGAAACGGATGGAAAGCGTTCGCAATAATGTGTCTGATTGTTTTCAAATTGCCATGTTTCAGAGAATGTTTGTCACCGAACTGTATTAACGGGTGCAATAAACACATCAGAGCAAAATACCACATGAACATAGACGATAGGTATTTTCGGTTTATTGAAGATATCACCCAGGAAATGGTTCTTTTTTTCTAATAGGGATTCGTGTATCAAAATTATAAGGAGTTGAAACTACTTGATAACCTAGTGAATTTCTTTCTTTTGATTTTAGCTTTTTGGTTCATAATAATTTTGAATTAATTCCTCTACAGGATGTGTCTTTTCCTGGCATTGCAAACGGCCGGATTCTCCGAGTCTAGTCAAGTTCCGCCAAACATAATCTTCCTCCTGGCGGATGATCTGGTTTGTTACATTTCAGTAATTCCTTTTTCTGGTATTTTCATTTCCTGAATTCAGACATACTCAAAATAACACGCAAAGAAGTTAAGAGCGGACGTAATAAAAACTCGCATAAGTTTCCAGTTCTAACAGTTAATTGCGTCCCTAGGCTGAAGTCGGTGTTGATTCTTTGTGCGTTGCGATGGGTGTTTCTTTCGTATTTCTACCGCAGCATTCTGTGTGTTTTTATTGCGTGCTAAAACGGCCGCCCCCCAGGAGGAAACCCCATAGACCAGCCGAGATCTTCCTGAATTAGTTCATTTGCCCCTCGTCCGTGACATCCCAGCGCCTGCCTTCCGATCTCCCTTTGGCGGCGTTCTTACGACCTCGCTTTGGCGGCTTTTTTTTATAGAGGTTATTCATGTATATTATCACCACACGAAACGCCATGCGTTCGCTCAATACAGAGCTCGGCCTCAGAACGGCTGGTGGCAGAAAACGGTCTGTCACTACGCCACCCGCAAAGCCTCAAAGCAATTGCACCAAAGGCAGCCTTACAATCAAAGGTGCCTCAGCAGCTGCCATTCACAAAAAGAGTGTAACGTCCGTTATCTTCTCTTAAAGTGGCCCTATTGTCGCGGGCTGTTGCAATCGAAAGTTTCGGGTCTTCGTTGCCTGATGCAAGGTCACTATTCTACAGGGCTGGGCGGACGTCAGCTTTCGTGGAGATCCGCAGATACCAACTCCGAACCTGGACGTCCTCGCCTCGCAGGGAATCATCCTCAACAACTACTACGTGCTGCACCTCTGCACTCCCTCCAGGGGGGCTCTGATGTCGGGTCTATACCCCATTCACACAGGTCTGTGATAGCGTTTGCCTGCAACATCCTTTCAGAGAATCGAAGTCTTATAGCAGACCCTTTTCAAAAGAGCGGTCCATCTAGTAGCTGCTTCGACGATTATCCTTATCTACCATTGTTTGAGCACGCATACTGTGAACAAGAATTAAACACGAGGGTGACGTCAGCGTTCGGGGAGGACTCGGATTCAGTCACACGCTTCGTGCCAAAAAAAAAAGGTGACCGCCAATGTTGCTTGATGGACTTTTGATAAGGGTCGGGACCATGTTTACATTGAAGCAGTGAATGCGTGCTATACGGAGTGCAAGGTCGTCTGTTTCTTTTGCAGAAGCTGTGGTGACGTTAGGATACCGAGCTCTGATTGGCTCTGATTGAAGTGTAGTGGGTAGACCTCAATGCTGGCCGCCTTAAGGTCTACCCACTATTCTGCATGTTGCACGTGATCCGCGTCTGCATGCATGTCTGCATGCAGACGCGGATCACGTGGTTTTGTTAACGATGAGCGTCAGTGGTCTGCGGTGGTCTGTGGGGTCCGGCATGACGGCGATGGACATCTGGTTCTGCAAAGTGTTAGTGCGTTCGGCGGTGCCTTTCAGGAATTCAGAGCCAATCAGAGCTTGGCGTCTTTTTGACGTCACCACAACCCCTGCAAAAAAGCAGACGAACTTTTATTGAGCACGTAAGGAGTGATGATCATAGACCGTTTAAACGCGCTTGCAGAACGACGAGTTCTGTGCAGATGCGTTTATGAGAACAGTGCTTTGCGTAGACTGCTATTTATTTATCCGAACAACTATCGAAGTAGCGTATGGTGCCCGGGCGCATTCGTATACCGCCGACACCATAAAATAACCCACTAAGGATCGATCTACGGTGGACTACAGTCAAAGCTACGCGAAGACAGGCCTAATCACAACCCTGTTATTCTACGGCGTGTGTTTCAGAACGGCGCAATGATACGCTGTTCAGAGCAGTATGTTACGTGGTAGCGTGCTGGCTCGTAATGAAATCTAACGCCCGTTAGCTATGGACATAGTCCACTGCAAGGTGACTCCAGTTCTAGCGGTTTCGTGTCCGCACATTCACAATCTCTTAAGATGATTTGTTTTTTCGACTTAATACCTCCGGCTAGTGTAAAGCAGTGACGTTGCTTCGTCTACGCTGGTATAAGGAAGTTTTAGCCCCAACCACGTGAGGCGTTGTTCACGTACATCAGCCGCGTCGGCGTCTCCCAGCGTCGGAGCTCGTCCATCGAGGTAAGTAGCAACAATGCAACTCGTGGGAGGCGCCGATGTCTTCCTCGACCAGATCTAGACGTCGTGGCGGAAGTGTCTTGCCAGACAAGGACCAACCAAAGTCATATGGGGCGTAAGTGAGACCGCGTAGATGCGTTGAGACGCATGAGACAAGGTCTATTGAACAGTCCCGGGATTGACAGGTAATAATCTTAGCGTAAAATAGAAAGGAAAGGTTTCTAAGCTACAAATAAACTTTGTGCAGCACATGTAGACAGTTGGTTGTTTCCGGTTGGCCGATGATTTAGGACTAGTCAATTTGGCGACACTGCGCAACGCCCGACAGACGCGCGTTGACTCGCGTTCCCACGGGGCTGGTGGGCCATCTCTAGTCAGTTGCCGCTAACGCGGAAGGACGCGGACGCCGTCGAAACGCGCGAAAAAACTCGTTCATGCGGTAGGGCCTTTCGTGAGTCGTTTTCACGCGAACAACTTGTTGCCGAGCGATTCGGCCACGCCACTGCGCACTAAACATCGTTACACCCTTAAGTGTGTAAACAGCTTGTCCTCTAACTAACAACCATATTGGAGTAGCAAGACGCCGTAAGTAAAGTTTTTTTTTCTAACACCCCTCAAGCAAGGTGTTATTTGAACACCTTTAGACTAAGGTGTAATTCCAACCGTTTCATTAGGGTGTTATGACTGCAATACACCCTCTAAACTGGGTGTACCATTGCGAGAAAGGGAAGTAAAAAAGGCGCAATGAACAAGACTCATACAATAAATACACCATTGTAATATATACAAGTCCTCCGTCCAGTACGAGAAAGTTCGTTGCATCAGAAAGCGAGCAAATCATGCGCCTTACGCATGAGAACTCAAAATGAATTCGGCCACACGCTCTTTTTCGGAAAGGTTTTTATGAAGAAAAAAGTCTTTTATATAGAAGCGTGTGTGACCGTCACTGGACGGCCACACACGCTCGACTTACCTGAAGGAAGCGCTATTAGTTTTAGATTTTTTATAGCAAAGTTACTCTTGCAGACACCAGTGCATGTAACTATTGTTGCATCCATATGCTCCCTGGTGCTTAAGTAATTTAGCAAAATATCTAAAGACCATTCCAGGAAAACGCTTGTGGTCGGCCCCATTCTCAGCGTACGTGCCTGAGGCGCGTACTTTGAACGCCGTCGAAAGCGGCGAACATGCTCGTGCTGGGCTGTGACGTAACAGATGCAGACTGTGGCGAATTTGCGTGGTTCTTCCTTGGCGCTCTCGGGCGCTCCTTCCACAGCGCGCGAGATCAAGTGGTGGAAATGGAGTGCTGTGGCCTGATCGGCTGGCTCTTTCCGAGGGCGCCCCTCCCTTTCAAGAGCACTCTTTAGCCCTCCGTCTCTGGCGGTCGGAGTGCTGAGCGGCGCAGGCGTCACGTGGTACTTAGACGCGGATCACGTGGTTTTGTTAACGATGAGCGTCAATGGTCTGCGGTGGTCTGTGGGGTCCAGCATGGCGGCGATGGACATCTGGTTCTACAAAGTGTTAGTGCGTTCGGCGGTGCGAGGATTACAACGGACGGGACGAGGCTCGCTTGTGACCGTGGCAGAAAAACTCGAAGTGATAATTACTCTCAGTGTTTTTACGAGATTTGTTATCTCATGGCGGTGAACCCGCTAAGCCTAACCGATGAAGAAACAGCTCGCAGGGCACGCCCACATTTTCTGGGTTTCGTAAACGCTTCGAGGAATTGTCAGGTTTGGTAAAAATTCAGTTTAAAGGTTTGCGTTGTAAAATAAAGGGAAAGCCGACTGTAATGTACTGTTATTTGTGCCACATGTTATGTCCTCTGGGTGATGCTTGCACGATATTCCGCCATGAGAAAAAATCCTGATTAATAATGTGTTTCAGATCGTTCAGTCACTCCCTCTTCGCTATCCGCAATCAGCTATGACTTCTACTATAGCGTAGCGGAACCGCCATTTCAAGTTTTAGTGGAACGTTCGCAACCCGGTAAAAAATACAGCGTTACAAGAGCTAACGCAACGTATCAAGCCACTTTTTGACACACTAAGGCTTGCCTAAAACGAAGCTTTGTAAATCAATTATCTGCAATGTTTTTAATCAGGCTCGCTATTGTAATACAATATTTTTTTTCTTTTATTTAACAACACTGCCAGCCCATTGCGGCCAAAGCAGGAGTCAATGAGCCAAGTACAATTCACATTTTTCACTAACAAAATACAAATACTTGTGTACTGCGCATACCCTTTTTACACAATATACTCAATTGCACATCCCAGAATTGTTTTTCTTCAAAACTTGATAAAGCTTGGTTGGTTTACAACATTACATATATTTATAGGCTGGTAGTTGTACAATACACTAAAAACGGCACAATAACTATACAGTGTCAAAACAACTTAGCAGCGGAAAAAATATCTAGGAAATTCGCAAAAGCTGAAAATGAATCAATGTAAACAACGTCCCTGGGTAGCTTGTTCTATGGACTCAATGTTAAAAATTGATTGTTTAAATGTATTTATTACAGCAGTAACGAAGGTATCGAATAAAGTGCTAAAATTCACTACTTTTTAGAATAACTGATTATGATGTTTGTAATGGAATACAACTGACGGTCAAGATGCCCAAGTCTAAACCAATATCAGTCAAGCGCCAAAGCCATAGAAAAAATCATCAAAAATAAAGGACAACAACTGTAGCTCTTCATTAATTGTGTCGGTGTGACCGGTCTTTCATTTTTCTCATTGTCCATCGAAAATGAAACACCACTGAAATCCCTCAAATCCGCCTGCTCGCTCGCTACCTTGGTCGGATCTGTCCTCACGACGAAAACGGCTGAACAGGTAGCCGCAACCCTTCGCTGAAAGCACAAAGGAATGCAAAGATTTTGTTCGTTTGTGTCCCCCCATGGCCGTATTTAGGATGACCGCCATGAATCGAGACCCGTTGCACTCCTGGAAACACTTTGTCTCGGCTGCTTCTCGCAGCAGCAAGATGGAATACGGCGCTTAGAACCGCGATCGTGAAGCGGACAGACAGGACAGGTACCGGGTGGCGGCCATCTTGAACCGCGTCCCTCGCTGGCTCTCCCTAATCTCACCAATACTCGTTCTAGCGAGACCCACACATAGGGCACCACACTAGCCGCGCTACGTTTTTCTAGACTGTGGTAAAATAGTGCGACTCCGCTAGCTTGGGCAACTTCGCTAATTCTCCACTAGCGTCGCATATGCGCAGTAGTGTCGTCGCTGTGGTGTTTAGCGTAGCGGGGCTGGAAAAATGATCTACTAACACTCTCTATTAACAATTTTCTGCCGTACTCATGACCGCTATCGCAGCGCGTTCACTGTCGAAAACGAGATGAATTGACAACGGTTTTCAAACTTTGGCTTTCAGTCCATTTTGCAAACATCAATCAAGCTACAGTTTTTTTGTTTTTTTTTTTACATGGCGATACGTAGAAGAGTTTATAGTTCGTCGCAGCTGTTATTCAATTACGTTGTGAGCGTAACTTCTCCTCAGTCGTCCATCGTACGCTGTAAAATCTTTTTTTATCCGTTCCCTATTGAAAAAAAATTATTACCGGAATCTCATTTCCAGTGAAAAATCTACTTTACTGGATTATGACTCTTTTCACTTCCAGTAAAGCTGGATCTAACCAAAAGTCACGGAATTCGCCTAGATTCGCAAGAAATTACGGGGAGTCACCGGATTTGCCACAATTCATAGGAACTTACCCTGTTTTTT